CAGCATAAGTCACAGTTTGTTATTTTCAGCACTAGTAAATTTATGTATGCTTAAAATGCTGATTTATAATTTCCAAGGTTATGTGTCATGAGTTTAGTCGTCATTTGGCCTAATGCATCAGGGAGCAAGTGATCCCTCCTGTATTTTGATATTGAAGGCACTCTAAATCTAATTTTTCATCGTTGATCGAGGATAGATACAAATTTAACTTTTAGATACTGCATGCGCTTTACCGGCACTTCCTACTGGTTTCGAACACAGAGCAAATCACAAATAGAAAGTAAGAGAAGAGCTCAGTTGTCAGAGCCTTTGTGCGCTGATCAAGGCAAGATAAGTGCCTCTCAACTCACACATGAAATGCAAATGTATGAATGCTATTAAACTGTACGGCTTACTGAATTCATTATAGTAGTCAGTGGTCCTAGGTCTTAGTGGTTTAGGGACTAAAGTCTTTGATGAGCTCACTTCCATTCCGATTAAATGTGTGTAGTGAAGAGATTCTTATGTGGAATTTTCTAAATCGTTGACTTGAATATTCTTGTAAGAAGAATGGGATGACGAAAGAAAATTAATGCATTTTTACCGGAATCGAAAGAAATAGTCTCGGAAGCAATATCAACAAGAATGTTCCAGTGGAGCCAATCTATGGCTCCGCCATCGCCTTATGCTGGCAACTACCTTCGAATTTCTTCACCAGACACTTTCACTCGAAATGAAAGTGCGTGTAACAATTATAACTAAAGACATTCCTCGAAAGTGTCTGGTGAAGAAATTCGAAGGTAGTTGCCAGCATAAGGCGAGCTCATCAAAGACTCTAGTCCTTAAACCACTTAGACCTAGGATCACTGACTATTATAATGAATTCAGTAAGCCGTCCAGTTTAATAGCATTCATAACCCTACACTTCATGTGTGATTTGAGAAGTATCTATCTTGCTTTGATCAGCGCACAAAGGATCTAACATCTGAGCTCTTCTCTTACTTGTCAACTTTTCATTGCACAAAATCTTTTCTTTTGAATGTAATCTTTTCTACTTCGAATCAGCCTACTGAGATGAAGGAGAGATAGAAGTTGCTATCTACTCTGAATGGGTGCGAATTAGAAAGAGAGGTTGACTGGACATAATCGGCCTATCCTCCGATTAATTATGTCTACCTTTACCAGTGATTTGGGCAGAGATCATTAGTGTCAAGCTTACTTCCATTTCGATTAAAAGTGTGTGGCGAAATGTGTAGGCCTCACGTATAAGTTAAAATTCTATCAGACCTGCTTCTCAAAAGGTATTATTATCCAGAATGGATTAGGCTGTAGTTTAGATTTCGCATGGGCTCAATTCCTGTTGGAGGGGATGGTGAGATGGTGGCTGAAAATACCTTTTGGCAATGACATCGTAGGACCTACACATCTCATTGTGGGAAAATGCACTATCACTCCTTCAGCATTTTAAGTCGCACAAGGACAATAAAGCGATTTATTAATTTATATGGCCCTCCTAAAAGTACACTTGCAAAGCTCTGCATTTTGCACCATTGTATGTCCTCTATTAACCATGTTTTCAGCCGGTTCAGAATTTTTGATACCATAGACCTTCACAGGAACCTGTGTTAAAATAATCTCTCATACAATCTCATGACAACCGGATCTAGCATATGTCCGAAGATCCTCTAAAAGAAGGCATGATTGAATCAAGTTCTGATTTCCCTTTATACATTCTTCTGATATCGACTTGTCTTACTAGTTCTGTTCCATTTTCGCAGGTTAACAGGACAGAGAAATCATGAATTGAATATAATGGCCTATTTTCTCATCGCACTTGTTCTCTTTATGAGTATTAAAAAGTAAAATGAGATGTATTTAGCCTATTTCGTCTAAGCTGATGAAGGACTGGTAGTCTTAAAACTCTAATATAATACGAAAATATTAAAAAGTAGTTATATATTATTCTTAGTGGATAATTATATCCGCAATTTATCGGTTTCATAGTCACAGTGAATTTCGTCTCCTAGTAGCAGACTCCTCAATACAATTGATTTCATAACTCCTAACTCGCCCCAAATTATGACGTCTTTTGCTCAATAAAAAGCCAGAAATGGAAGCCTATTCTCCTTTTCTGAATCCTTAACTTTAGCATTCTGAGCTTGCTATTAATTAGTTCAAGGAATTATCCCATTTATCGTTTTCGTGTTGCCAGATCAACATTCTAGTATCCCTATAGGTAAAAAGTTAGGCGAAATTCCAATCCTCAGATTGACTAAGTTAATGCCTTACCTTCAATGGTGCATTGCAACAGAAAACTAAAAATTCAGTTAAGGGATCAAGCTCTATGGCGAAATTGGTTGTTCATTTAATTTAAGAAGTACTCCCACCTCTTATGTTCTTATATTGTCGATCTTCTTTTGTTCTGCAACGCGGCAGACATGAAATACACAGCGCCACATAGATATGGAGAAAAACTGGGTCTAAGAATTCCTAAATAGGTTTATTTCGGCATACATTAAATTTTATTCAAAGATGGATGTGAAAGGGATTCGTAGATTGGCCTCACCTGAATCAAAGGGGAATTGAGCCGAGGACTTACCCACACAAATCTACAATCACTACTCGAAGGCTATCCTCCATCCGCTTCCGATGAGGCCAATCTACGGATTCATTCCATTCACCTCTTCAAACGAGATGCAAGGTACCCAAAACAATATCAGATAGCAAACATTCGTCAAAATTACTGTATTAAACGAATGAAGTAGGGTAAGCCTCATTAAGATTGCAAAACTAGCTAGTAGTAGGGAGTAGATTTTCAACCCGCAACCTATTTTCTTGGTTTAGTATTTAGGTGCGGTCAAGAATTCCTTGGCATTATCAAGTAATCTTAATATCTTTGGTTTTTAGTAAAGTCAATTCATGAATCCATTTCGATGTAAAAACCATAGTCATACTAGACCACTAAGGAATTTTTAAGCACATCTGTTCTTCATATACATGCACCACTTATGGTAAATAGACAATGATAAATTTAACACTCATAAATTGGATTCGCTGACAGTTCTGAGCCTGCAAATAATGTATTCTCGCTACAGGAATCCCACTGGAGCGAGTTCGAAACGGTTATGTCCGCAGAAGAAACTAATAATTGTATGCACAACTGAGTGGATCTTCTTTGTCCAGTCGGGCCTATTATTTGCTTGGTAGTAGGCATTTCGTCTGCCCATGCCTAACATCTTGCTCTAAATAATTTCCCTGATTAAGAGGGTTATTAAATCTGATGCTTCATGAAAAGAGAAACAACTTATTTAAAACTTGTGCATTTTGCTTTCTAGACAACATTCATAAACTTTCAGTAACCGTTTTATCGTGGATATAAAGACCAAACTGTTGTAGCCTCTATTTTGATTGGAGTTACCTTTCATTGTATGGAAATTGTCTATTTTGAGACTATCAGTAAATCAGATCTATGAGTTATGTTTGCCCTATTTCGTTTAAGCTAGAAGAATTTTCCCACGATGATATGAGTCGAGCTGACGTTTCAATTGAATTTCACACCGCCTTGATTTTAAAAAAGGTGTTCTAATCCAGGATAGACCTAGGCAAGGGCAAAATTGCAGTCCATCGTAGATGAGAACACCTTTTGGGAAAGTAGGCCTATTTGAAATTCAATGGAAACTTCAGTTC